TGCTCCAAAAGCTCCATGTCCTTCTTGTGTTGGGAACTCCAGAGCTGAATGCAGTATTCCAGGTGGGGTCTCATGAGAGCAGAGTAGTGGGGCAAAATCACCTCCCTCGACCTGCCGGACACACTTCTTTTGATACAGCCCAGGTTATGGTTGGCTTTCTGGGCTGCCAGCACACATTGCCGGCTCATGTTGAGCTTTTTCATCCACCAGCACTCCCAAGTCCTTTTCCTCTGTGCTGCTCTCCATCCATTCTCCACTCAGCCTGTACTTGTGCTTGGGATTGCCCTGACTCACATGCAGGACCTTGCACTTGGCCTTGTTGAACTTCATGAGGTTTTCACAGGCCCAAGTTTAGAAGAAGATGCACAGTGTACTTGCCACCTCTATGATCGCTTCATCTGAACTGTCTTGCTGTGCCATCGGTTTGGATGTATATTGTGCTAAGTACTGACAAGACTGTACACTCCCATACATCCCACCAGCAGTTTGCTAACCACAAATGTTTGCAATTTGCACAGTTCTCAAACATCCACATTCTCTATAGATTTACATACTCAAATAGTGTAAATCACTCTGACAGAAAGGATGGGGAATGCATTGTTAAAGAGATTCAGTAAAGCTGCATTACTGCTCCAGGCACTATTCTAAACAACACAATTACAATAAGCATTTAAAGATACCCATAAAAGAGTAAAAAAATTCATCAAAACAAATTTGCCTAAAAAATGTTCTTTTTGTTGCAGCCACCCTGAACAACTGGCAGGGAGCTTTTTAACCACATCTACTAAGCACCAAGTTTGTCTGGTTGTTGGCTTTCTCCTCTGAATTTTGTAGCATTCCCTGGTGAACCAAATGCTCACTGTGAGAACACTTAGCATGGTCACTGCTAGGTTTAAGGCCAGGGTTTAATGCTGGCAAGGTATGGCAAGTCTATAGCCTATGGTCCTTATGCGAGCTGCAGTCAAGGCACACAGAGGGTGAGAGTGAGCTTTATAAATTTCCCCTTTGCATCACTGTTATAATGCTCAGAGGCCACTCAGCAACTGGATGGGCAATTTGATGATGGAAAATAATTGTCTTCCTCACTTTTTTCCACAATATGGAGCTCTTGTTTTTCTGTCTTTTCTTTTCAGTTGTGATGGGTTCTCAAGAATAGGAAACAGGCCTGTGTTTCTGTAGCAGCTGGCATGCTTGGGATATCGGAATCAACAGCTAATATAAAGAACAAAATTAATTTTCCTTACCAGCAAATGCTTGTTTCTTATTTGTTTAAATGCAAGGACAGGTAATTCTGACTCTTCTTACTAAGAGATTTTTCCACAACTGCTTCTTAAATCTGTAACATTAGCCTTGTTATACTGACTTATTGTTCCATGGATAATCACCACACACTGTAACACCACTTGTGTAATCATCTAATCATGTAAAAGACAAACAATGCAGAAGTTGCCTTAAGAGACTTTTTAAATGTAAAATCAATAGTCTCCATGGAAATGTAGCCCAATACAGGTTTTTCCTCTGAGCCTCCTACTCTAGTGACACTTTTAATATGTGCTAATTATCTACATTCAGCCTTTTATTACACAGTTGTAGGCAAATGCTAATTACTGTTTGATCGTTGAAGAGCTTAGATCATCATGTACAACCTCAAAACTTCTTAAATTCTACGAGATACACATATACTGAAATTCATGTTGATGAGAAGCCCGGAAAGTAGGGCTCCTCTTCCTCTATTCATTTTAAGGGAGGTAGCTATTAAAACGCAAACTACATGCAGAGCTATTTGTATTAAGAGAAAGATAAACAAAGAATTCTATTGTTTAAAATGGTAATAGTTTTGACGTGCTGTAGCTACTCCTGGATAACCTTTGCTTTGGAAAAAGCGTTTACTTGGTCATGTTTCCAATTTCAGAGAAAAACTTTAACCCTAGAGCCACGTTAGTTTTATCTCAGGTGTCAACATTGTTCATCCACATCCAGAAAATGCAAAGATATACGTGTGTACCTCAGATTTAGGCTCTCTTGTATAATTCAAGAGTGCTGCATTTACTTTTTTCAAGGATACGACATAACTGTATAGTTTGAAAAGATGAGATGACAGACTAAATCATGGCCTGGAAACTAACCTTAGCTTATTGATAAGGACTTAGTAAAACTATTTAGTTTATTAAAAGATGACTAAACCACAATTTGTATGTATGTGAATATGAAAACAGCAGGTTTTGGCTGAGCTTCATTCATTAAAAAAAGAAAAAAAAGCTGTAATATACACGTTCTTCACATACAGTGAGCTGGAGTGTCCTGTCGAAATGTGTGTCTTATCTCCTTCAACGATAGGGGGAACTTAAGTACCTAATGAATTGCCTGAAATTTTGATGAGTGAATCTGGGGCCGTATTATTTGAGTGGACTAAGGCACTGCAGCAACCAAAGTCCGAAAGCTAAACTCAGCAAACATGAAACTGAAACTACAGGAAACCACTAGTTAAGAACTGCTAGAGATTAGTGTGTAAAATACACCATTTTAAATGCAAGAGAATTTGGAAGGCACGTTTTCTCTGAACATTACAGTCTACATTAACCACAAGCTATGTGACCACATGGTATCTGACTATCAATCTTTACTCATGCCCATGAATATCTGTTTACGCAAGCAGTTCCCTTGACTTGACCTGTACTGCTTGCAGATGAGGGGCTTATTCAGCACAAGCAGTACTGGCATAATTTGGCCATAGTCTATGCTGCAAATACTAATGTTGCTTTTAGAAATGATAGTCATCTTGATAGTCATAATTCTTAGGGGTAATGGCTTCTTCAAACAAGTGCTTTGGGTGCTGAGTTACTTGAACCCTTTCCTAAATAAACAACAGTGTCAGAGGTTGAGGGCAATGGAGGTTCTTAGTCTTCCCAGTGCATGTTTTCTGGAGAGGAGTTACTCACCAAAATTTTAGAACTGCCTTTAGCTAAAACTAGCCCTTGCCCTTCTCAAATTGTGCCTTTTTCTCTGGGCTCTAATTTCTTTCTTTAAAGAGACATGATAGCACCCACTTTGGCACATCAAGGTCTACATGTCAGCTACACGTTTGTTCTTATTATCCTTCAGTCTCAGGATATTGTGAAAGCTGCATAGATACTGACCACCTGTTATTTCAGAAGGCCGGGCAGAAAAGCTATTAATACCTCCTCTGGGTACGAGACAGCACAGAAGAGCCCTCTGCTCCACCTCAGCATTGTCACATTTATTTCTAAGGAAGTAATGTACCAAACTAATGATTTTACATTGGTTTCTTATTTCTTGATGGTACAAAACTGAGAAAATTTACTGGAGGAATTTTTTTTAATATTTAAATGTGAATCTCACCCACCAAAGTTAGTCTGAGTTGTCTGCAGGAAATGTCATTCTAAGAAGCCTGCCAAGCGAATTCCTTTGCAATAATACTAGATACTGGCTTTTTTAATGTTAGAAGCAATATTTACCCACTGAAGGGCAGCACATATTACAGGAAAGCTGGCAGTGAGGACTATTTTACGCTGTGCTATCATGAAGAAAATCTCAGAAAGCAGTTCATCTGTGGAAGGCAGGTCCTTCTGAGAAGTTCCACAAGTGTACACAGGGTTTTCAGTCATGCATGTTTATTTGTTTAAGTGAAAGATAGGTGTAGCCCTGCCTCCTGCTTGCCACAGTGCTCTATCAAGGAACATATAGAGGAAAAGCCACTGACTCATTCTTCTCTGGAATATCAGTCACTGTCAATTAGTGTCTTATAAATTCAACTCTGCATTGTAAGTTATATATGATCAATGACGTCAAAAGCCTTGTCAGTTTGGTTGCTCTAAAAAAGGCCAGGTGTTTGGGAAAAGTTGCATAAGTGAAGAGAAACAGCATCTTAATGGGAAGCTCTGGGAGAGGTATCAGTATCAAAACCCCATCAAAATATTTCAGAAAAGCTTGTGCATGAACTTGTCTATGTGATGACAATTTAAAGGAGGATACCAAACTTAAATTCTTGCAGTTAAGTCTATTAAGTCCTTCTTTCTACAATTTCATTTCATCATAAAATTATTTTATGAAAGTATATTTGGCCTGACCTGGTCCAACTGGTGCTGGACTAAAATAAGAAACAAGGAAGAGAACACAGCACACTAAGAGAGGTACTATCTAGAAAGGAAAACATGCAAAGGTAGGGAGGATCTAGGATAGTCCCATCCCATTGGATTGATCAATCACACAGGAAGACATTTAAAGCTGACAGGGCCCACACAAAGCAGGCTTTCAATAATCCCAGAATGAAATTCTTATTTTAAACTATCAGGACAGAGTGGTAAACTTTTCCCTCATTTTAAAAATGCTAGCGGATTTTCTTATTCCTTCTGATGTAAAACATTTTGTTTTAAGTTGAGTAACAAGTTCTCATCAATGGTTTTGCACAGAAAAAATACTCTGCATGCGTGTTTTAATGAAAATACTCACTTGAAAATGCTGGTCAGCATTATTTGCAATAGGTGAGTCTGTCATATTAGAAAGAAGCATACTTTAGGTAACTAAGGTTAGTGATAACACTCCAGAAATGATACTGTGCCTCATTCTAATACATGAAAAATAATTATCGTGGCAAACGGACACTTCTTTAAAAGTAGACCAACAAAGAAAAAACCCTTGACAGGGTTAGAAGAATCAGAACAACTTCTGGCCTGGAGAAAATTAAAGAGAAAATCAATATGTATGTTTCAGGGTACTGCTTAATCACGGGAAGGATTCCCCGATATCTTCTGTTTTCCCTCACTGTAATATATCAGGTGGTGACACCGTGGATTTTTAAATTCTTTCCAAGTTGTCTACTACTCTTGCTAGCTATTGGAGGAGATGGAGCGTTTGCCTGTTTTGGTAGGTCAGTAATTCATGACAGAACTCTCTACTGTATCTTCCTGCCTCAGGAATGCTTGGCAAAACCACAGGGGTCAAAACACTTTTCACTGTATTTTCTTTAGTAATACATTTACCCAGGACCCACGGTAATATCATCCACTCGACGATGGTTGGTGGTGGTCCCTGCATGCTCAAGTCCGACCTATCAATGTGCTGAGAGGCAAGCAACAGCAGGAACAAGAAAGTCAAGTAGGATGCAGTATGGCAGATAAATTTGATAAATGGCTTTCTGATGAACAGCCCTAATGGGCTTTTGGGAGCTATCAGGTAGCACACGGAGAAGACTGGGAAAAGGAGTCCTATCACAACACATGTCAACATCTTCACAGCCCAGTGTCGTCTCCTCCATCCGGGGAACTCATCATACCAGCGGGATGCGAGCAGCTGCTGGCAGTTTGGCTGAGCAACAAACTACAGAGAGAAGAAGAAAGGAAGATGGTTAGTTCCTTGTTACCTCTTTAAAATTATTTCCATGGTATGTATGTTACAATAAGTAACTTTTGGATAGAGATTAAAAAAAAATAAAATCCACAGCCTGTGCAAGCCCACTCATACCAATAATACCAGTAAGACAGGTCTAGGTCAGCCTGCCCTTCCTTCAATGTAAAAAGTATAGTACAAAGTAATCAAAATTCACTTTTCACAATAAAGCTTCACTTCTCCATCAGCTGAGTACACAAGGAGCCAACAGACTGTAAAACACATGTACCTCAAAAGCTGATTTCAAACTGAAAAGCAAGTTCACAAATACTTCCAATTATTCAACCAGCAACATTTGTAGAGAATCCACAGAACGTGAGATGGAAGTCACTATGAAAATGAAAAGCACCACTGAGATATGTAAACAGTGAAACCGAATTCCACAGCCATGAATGAACTATTTTCAGTATGTTCCCTGCTAATTCTCTAAAAATCAGGCTTACATGCTTTTACACTGACAAAACTCTTACAGATATATTACATAATGCTTGCACAATAGGAACTATTCACTAGCATTCCCTAGTACTTTACTAATCCTTGTTAGGATCTATTCCTACCCCATACAATATTTTATGGTCTATCTGTTCTTCATGATATGATTTCAGTTTTTAAAATATGATACTTAAAATTGAATTTCACCAAAAATCTCAAACCCAGTAAATAGTTCATATTTTTCAGTTAGCTTTTCAAAGAAACTTTAAGTATATTCCAGGGTTTTAAATCACATTTTTATTTGATCACTAGTTCCTATTTTCCCTAATGTTTTCTTTTATAAAAGGGACATAGAGTAGGAGCATGCTAGACTTGACATAAGAGATATAGAATAGAAGCAACATATGCATCCAAGAGAGTAAGTTGTTGCATTTTATTTTTGAAAAAAAAAAAAAAGAAAATAAACATTTTCCTCATGTTACACAGATGCATATATACACACATTGGACTAAATCATTAGCTGCAGACTTAATAAAGCTATGCAGAAACGTCTTTATTTTATTAAATAATAAAACTGTTTATATAAACTAAATTATTTCAGATTTGAATTCTAATCAAATGTACATAGTTTTGGATTTTACATTAATTTGATAATACTTATAACCACAGGAGCCAAGTTCTTTTGGGGATGAATAACAGGTAACTTCTCAAACAGTTTCTGAAACTAGTGGGATTACTACTGGGAGAAAACATTATTTAGTTTGGAATGAAACGAGAGTCAGCACACATCTTTCTATATATGCCTGGATCTTGTCAGGAATGTTAACCTAAGCCAAATTCAAACCTGGTGTATGTTAATGAAATGCCAGTGTCCTTAGCAGAGACATATTTGCCTACCAGACACCAGCACTGAACCTGCCCCTGACTGTTGTGAAAGATGAGAAGATTTACTCATACTGTAAGTATCTTGAAAATAGCCTTAAAGAAGAGTAACAGAGTGTTCTCTTCCGTCAGGAAGAATGCATTCACAAGGTTTCAGGGTGTTTGTTTCAAGATACAAATGTCTGGAATAATATTGCATGCAGCCAGAGCAGATGGTTTCTACGTTATGTTTTTGCCAAGTTTTTAACAGGGGTCTCCTTACAAAATTTTTCACCTCAGTTTGCTTGGGTAGGTACAGATTAGTGCTTTGCTTGACTAGTGAAAAAGTATGACTTGTAGACTAGTTCCTGAGTAAAATATTTTCCTTTTTTTCCCCTGGAGTGTGCCAGATTCATGTTTGTTTTGCCTTCTTCATAATATCTTTCCATTACATATCCTCTCACCTAAAAGTAATCAAGTTCCTAAGTCTTACCTGTGTCCCTGTTCTCGACACCTTTGGGTTGTGCTCATTGTGCTGGGAACCCAGATAAAGGAACAACTTGAAGTGAATGGCAAAGGCTGGTGGTAGACATAGGGGCCTATTCCTTGCCAAGCATGGCTAAAAAGCAATGTATTTTCCTTGCTGTAATGCAGAGGAAATTAAGTAAAAGGAGTTTTTTTTCCAATGTCCACCAAGTACTGGGCTGTCCTGGGTTTTGGAAGACCAGAACTGATGCAGAAGTACCTCGTGCCATGAGGAGATGCTTGCTGACTGCACCATCTGGAGGGTGCTCCACACCGGGTGGGCAGTAGCTGTTAGTTCTAATCCTTAAACACATTAATATGCAAAACAATCAATGTTAATACAGAAAGCATTTCTGAGAGGGCTTGAAAGATTGTTTGTTGTTTCCTAATAGACTAGATTTTGTCACGTTGTGATGAAATTGCTAAGGTACTATATGTTAAGGACAAAGATTGCTTTCCGAGGCACAGAAAGCTTGACCATAAGTGCAGAAAACTTTCAAATCTTGGACACCGAAGAGTCAATTTTTCAATTGCAATTTTTAAAGAAATTAGCTCTCATGTTTTCCTTCAAATTATGATTGTGACAGGACAGTTTCAACACCAGTCAAATCCTCTAACTACAGGAGAAAACTAACATGGACTATACATTTTAAGCGGCTAGAGTTAGGGGCAGCACCATCACTAATATACTTTCAACAGCCTACTAGACATAAAACACATAAGAAGTAACTAATAGTGTAGTACGGAGCAAGTATATAAAAAACTTTGTCAGCATTTTAAGAGCTGCAGGTATATGGAAGCAGCTCCAGTAGTGCAGGCAAAAGTCCGTAATAGAAACCAGAACACAGTGTCTACAGATGATACACTGCATTTCTGAGAGGTCCAGATATTCAGTTTCATGCTGTCATTTTTATCTAGTAGCACTGTTGGCAAGGTTAGTTAGCAATGTCCTGAAGCATGAAAAAAATCTGTCTCTTCACTGCAGACTTTTCTTTATGGTTCTGAGCTCTGCTGCCTATACAATATACACTATGGAACACTCCAAAGTGTCTTCTTCAGACAACTGGAAAATTACCCTAAATCTCTTGCTGACACTTTTTATATAGCTATGCTTTTCTGCTTCACTTATCAAGGAATTGTATGACATTATTAAAAATGTCCAAAATAATCTTTGCAAATTTGACTATTTGCTCCATTTTTGTGGTTGAGAGATTATCATCATATGCTGAGAAATATGTTCGGTAGTGATTCCTACATTTATGACACTACCTGAGTTATGATGGAAGTCCTTGAATGGGGAACAGTTGAGGTACCCTGATGTCAAGAAAAATGTACACAATGGTGAATCCTACAGACATGTTCCTCAGCTGCCCAGAGAGGAGGATCTTGATACTGCACGTTGCATCTCCCTTCTTGTCCTGTGGACCTGTTTCCTACAGAGGAAATGAGGGGAAGATGCTGTGTACCCACACTTTGTCCTCATACGTTATAAATAAGTGTTTGAGCATCTACAGGAACTGGGGGTGAGGAAGTCTTCCTGGGACCCACAGTGTAAATACTGTCTGTATAGGCTGTCTCAGACATTACTCATAGTTCACATATAGTTATACAGGTCAAGTTTGTGATTAATATATTTTATTACTGATCTTGAATGCTTATTACACAAGACCTTTTGTTTTATCCATTAAAAAGCTCTTCTAAATAGAAAAAAAAAGTCTTCATGGCAAAATTCTGTGGTCAAATGAGTTTTACACTTTATTGTAAACCTTCCTATTAGAAAGGAACAGCAGAAGTGGATGGAAAAAAGATATATTGCAAGCCAAAAGACACCTCCTGTATAAATGGTTGCATCTAGGATGATCATATAGTAAAGCTAAGTAGTCATATAAGTCCTCTGCTGAGCTGGGAGCTACAAAAAAATTTTTTAAAAAAATATTTTACACAAATATTTTACGACTAGCAGAAATAGAAATACTCTGCCAGTTCTGCATTGCCTATGCCAAAATATTTTCACTGTAGTATATTTTTACTTCCTTAATTGGAGATATTGCATTCTGAGGTATTCAAACTATCTTTTGTACTATCAGTATTATGTTGTATATTATTTGACTTTGACATTGTCTCCATATAATTAGCAATCAGCAAGTTTATATTTTCATATTGCAATGGCTTCCAATAGCTTGCAGCAGTTTGTAATTATGCAAGGGATTTTGCTGTAATGATTATTCCTGGTTGCACATCTCTATCTCTCTCATAGAGTCTGACTGTCTGAAAATGTTTTGGTATTCATTCTCTTAGTTGTCATGCTGGGAATTAGATCTTTCCTGAGACTGGTGAAAATCAGAAATTATTCACAGTGCCAGCAAAAATAATCTGGTATAAACAATAGCAGAGCCTGATTCTAGTGATATCCCAGCAAATACACAGCCCAGAATTTCATTATCACTGCTGATTAAATCTGATCTTTAGTTTTGCTACAATACATATCCTTCAGTCAATGGAAATGATGAAGAAGTAACAGAAGTGACACTATTTTCTATATAATGTCTTTATAGACATTTTTTATAAATAATATGTCATCAGAATAAGTCGTTAGTTCCTTACTGTAGCACAATATCACCTTTAAATATTTATTTAAAGGAGGAGAAGGACTTGGGAGTACTGGTGGACGAGAAGCTCAATATGAGCCGGCAATGTGCTCTTGCGGCCCAGAAGGCCAACCGCATCCTGGGCTGCATCAAGAGGAGCGTGGCCAGCAGGTCAAGGGAGGTGATTCTCCCCCTCTACTCTGCCCTCGTGAGACCTCACTTGGAGTATTGCGTCCAGTTCTGGAGTCCCCAACATAAGAAGGACATGGACCAGTTGGAGAGGGTCCAGAGGAGGGCCACGAAGATGATAAGAGGGCTGGAGCACCTTTCCTATGAGGACAGGCTGAAAGAGTTGGGGCTCTTCAGCCTGGAGAAGAGGAGGCTCCGGGGTGACCTTATAGCGGTCTTCCAGTACCTCAAGGGGGCCTACAAGAAAGATGGGGAGAGGCTGTTCAGGAGGGCCAGTTGTGATAGGACAAGGGGTAATGGTTTTAAAATAGAGGGAGGTAGATTCAGATTGGATAT